CTACTGCAGAATTGACTACTGATATGATATCTTTCATATCTTATATCACAAGTTTTCTTGAGACACCTAAAAAAGGTTTCTCAAATATCTTGAGGGTGGGCTCAAACAGTTTTCGGGTGGGCTTAGCCCACCCCAGCCCACCTGTGGGCACTTCGACAACTACTTTTGTTATTGATTGGCGCTTATAAACGACACGCTTTCTTTGTTAAATCATTCACCTATAAAGAGAGCATATAATCTACCAGTTTATCGTTGAGTAAATGTGTCGACAAATATACATATCATTATTGGTGAACATTAAATATTCTGCAAACAAATTACAGTCATGTCAGATGTGCATAATACAGACACAAATCACTCGAACAAATGAGAATATACAAGTTTTCTTCAAGTCTGGTCCTTTATCTCCATATGTACTTATCAATTGTACTCTTAAAACACTAGAACTTTTAGTAAAAGCCCTTTTTTGTCTCAGTCATTTATTTGAAATCGAGGAACCAATTCGAATCAAATCCTCATATGTCATTTCAGAGCTTCGAATTACTTTTCTAGAAAAGAGACTTTTACTATATTCAATCTAAAAACCTACCCATAATATTCAATACTTCCGTTAAACTAAAACTCTTTTTTTTGAATATAGTGGTGTACTATTTGATAATAATTCTCGTTGAAAATCACATAAAACTGCAAGTAATTTCGATTGTAATGCTTTATAAACACATTCTTTTGAAATACCATTTAAATAATCTTTATCCATTGTTAATAATATTTCATCTAATATATCAACAGCCATTTGTAAACCTCTCATAACATGTTCAGGATATGTACTAATATAAAGTAATTATTTACTAGATATAGGTCAACCACCAAAACAGAATACAGCAGCTAAATCAGTTCCAGCTTCTTATTCAGTAAATTGATTTACTTGATAAACATGAGATAATTATTATTTTCAAGACATACATGTCTCCATACATGTGAATAAATCGATGGAAATGCATCAAAAATAACTTTTCGACATTTTAATAGCTGTTCGAATATGTTGAACAAATCGACTAGCATTTAATGAATGTTCTTCAACAATCCAAGGGAATAAA